AATTACCTTTTGGTAAAACCAGGGCAGGGGGAAGGGGGATTGATGCGCTTCTCATCTCTTACTTCTCTTAGCCTGTCTCTCTCTCTCTAATCTCTCTTCTCTCTCTCTCTCTCTCTCTCTCTCATCCTCTGCTCGCTCTCTTCTCTCTACTCTTCTCTTCTCGCTCTCTCTCTCTCTCTCTCTCTCTCTCTCTCTCTCGTCTTTACCTCTCTCTCTCTCTCTCTCTCTCTCGCTCTCTTCTCTCTCTCTCTCTCTCTCTCACACACACACACACACACACACACACACACACACTCTCCCCCCTCTCCTTCTCACCTTCCCCTCCCTGTGTATAAACATACAAAAATAATATAAATTATAAACGATGTAAATTATTTATCATAAAATGCTTTTAATAAAACTGAAATATTATGTTTTACATTTAAAGAATACTTTATTGCTTAAAATTAAACTGGTGGTGCTACAGAATGACACAGACTTTCTCGTTCTAGAAAGATTTTTTGGCTCGTTCTAGGAAGATTTGTTTGAAAGATTTTTCTGGCTTTTGGATAGTGCTTCATCCTCTTTCCAGCTGCCATTTATCGTCGCCAAAACATAATTTTTTTCATCCTTGCTCAATTTTTCGGTTTAATGGCAGAAACGAAAAATTACTTCATGAATATTATAGAAATTTTGGTTGAAATATTTGAAGCAGTTTTTACGAAAATGTTTAAGCGTTACTATAAGTTCCTTTTCACAGAAATCTTTTGAGTTTTTGGAAAACTTTATTGGAAGTCATTTCAAGTGTTTCCACTCACAAATGCAACAGTGTATACAAATTGCTGGAAATGAGCATATTAACAGCGTGAGAGATATTTCAAAACAATTACATTTGTCAAATTTTTAATAAACAAAAGAATTCTGCAAAATTATTTTTATGTCATCTCCAACCTTGCAATTAGAACTATTCGTATGGCAAGTTTGAAGTAAAATTGGGAGACATTTTGAGAAAATGGCATTTGAGCGTTTCTGAAAATGCAGAATGTTGAGCTCTTTTTCACACAAAATTTGTGAGTCTAGAAGAAACTTTTTAAGACATTATTTAAAGCATATGTAAATGTAATTATGTGAACAAATTGCAGCTAGTGTAAATACTAATGACATGAGACACAAGTCAAAAAAATTAGATTTGCTTTTAAAAATGCTATTAAATGCAATTAAAAAAACAACAAAAGAAAAGAGCAAAATGGCTTTGATGTCATCTCATAGAGTATATTTAGCACTCACCCTACCAAAAGTTTAAAGAAAAATTTGGAGCCGTTTTTGAGTAAACATTGTTTTTTTGTTTTTTTTTTTTTTTGTTTTTTTAATTCCACATATATGTGCAATACATTGCACACAATATTGAGTGAAAACTACTAAAATTTTCAAAAATGTATGTGATCGTATTGAAAAATTAATTATGGACAACAAATTTCATTTGAAGGAAAAATCTCTATCTTCAATTTTGTACTTGTAGGAAGTCACCGAAAAACTTCAAGCTTTTATAATTATCGAAAACTCAGAGTTGACAGTGAAAATATGGTATATACCACCTTTATAAGTGTATTTTACTCTATTATTACAAGAAATTTTAAGAAAAAAATTTGGAACCTTTTTGAGAAAATTTTGAAAATGTCCCGCGGTTTTTATCTTAAATCATGGAATTGAATATAATAAATGTTGTATTCTAGTGATATTTTAAGTTTCAGGTTTAGACCCATCTTCAGACCAACATTATCTGAAAACAATAGTAAATTGGAACAGAATGAAATAGGCTCTAATACATATTAAAATTAACAAAATTTTTTATGCTACAAATTAGGAAGCGTGTAGCGCATGGAATTTGAGGACAAAACATAAGGACATATTGACTCTCCTTTATTAATCTTTAAGGGCAACGTACAAAAAATTAATAAATAGAGCACATGTAGAATATCAATGTGGGCATGCACATACCCAGTCATTGTAGAGTCAAGAATGGAGGCTGAAAAATAACATAAAACTATTAGACCAATGGTTTGTTAAAATGTGGAGCAAGGACGAACAAAGAAAAGATTGAAGCAGGGGGAAGAGTGAAATTTTAACAGCGCAAATAAATGTTTCTTGAATTTAAATAAAGAGTTTTATAAGTTGATGTAAAATAACTATTTTCAGTAACAGTATTCATGGTAGGAATTTGCTTTATGATAAGTGTTCTTGAAATCAAACAAGAATATTTGCATTTTTCTGGATCTAATATATAGATCAGTATAGTTCGTTCAGCATATTGCAATAGACAGTTAAGACAGTTAATCTGATGGACAACATTTCCAATTTTCAGTAAAGCAATGTTGTCTTTTCTGTTTTGTATGATGTTTTTTATTTTTGATGTTTATTTTGATGTTTTGTACTTCTGATTCCTAATTTCATTTCTTTGTTTTCCATTTCAATCTTTATAATATTACTTATGGTAGGAATGTAAGGTAAAGATAAATGCAGTTGTTCATTTGTTTTTTCAGATCGAGTTGAGTTTTTTTAACGTATTAAACTTTTTTTTGATAAATTTCTTAACAATTTTTTCTGAGTAGTCATTCTTTTTTAATTGCCGTCTAAATTTTGACAAATTTAATTTATGGTATTGAATTGGATTATTTAATCAGTCTGGCCACTATGTGAAGTATGAGAATTGCCTCTCAGAATATAATGAGGAGAATGAAGACCTCAGCTTCCATTAACTTTTGAGAATGTTAAAAAATTGTCCTTGATTATTGGAAAAGTGGGGGTTTGGCCTCTCAAGAGAGGAAGTTATGGACTTAGTACAATATTTTTTGTAAGTAAATGACCTAAAAAACAAATTTGGGGATGGAAGACCTGGACTGGCATGGTTTATTAATTTCTGAAACAGGTATGGCATGGCCTTTCTGTAAATCTGCCTCAAGGTGTGGAATAAGAGAGTGAAGTGAGTGTTTTTTTCTACTCTTTCCACAAACAAATAGACAGAGATTGGGTCTGGATACTCTGTAGAAATTACTGCAACAATGCATGGAAATTCAGGAGGGTGGTTCCAGTTAAGGTACATATATTTTTTTAACAACAATACAGGACACTAATTGGTACTGTAAAATCAAAAATGACATGCATTAAGTGATAGTTCTCTTTTACTTCATATCTTTATTAAAAATTATAATTTATTACATTGGTTGATGAGAGTCATGTCTTTGGAATCTAAACAGTAGTGTTGTGTTGCATGAGTCTAAAGTAGAGGGAAAAGTGTTGTCTAACTTCCAAAATATTTCTTTTTGTTCAAAGCATCCAAAAATCATCATCACTGTTCAAACATTTCAAATTCTAATACTTAGATCACTTGAAGGTAAAATAACAAATAAACCATTTTATTGAATACTTAATTCTCTGTAACTTTTACTGTGATGATAATGCTGTAAAACTAAGGGCTATGGTGTTAAAACACAGTTTGTCAACAAATGTGAAGAATGAAGTGTTTTTGAAAATATTTGGTTTTTGTAGCAAATAATTCAAAAGCTATTGGAAATAGAAAAAAAATGAAAGAACAAATAAATACATTGGCAATTTTGCCAGCAAAATTGGAATGAAGCAAAATACATGACATTCTAATGTCCCAACAAAGTTTTTCAGGGCAAAAGGCGAGACCTCATAAAAATGGGATCATCCTGTATTTATGGAGTAGGTATATACAAACTCTACTTTGGAGAAAGAAGCAACTGGGACCATACACTGAAATATATTACAAAACCTGTACCAAACACACACTAAAATATAAATTACAAAAAATGCATACTATATAATTTATTTTGCAAAACTGAATCACACAGATCTTTTATGACTGATCTTGACAAATAAAACTTTCAATTTTTTGTGTGGTCAAAAATGGAAACAAAACGCAATTTTAAGGGTAAACTAAGTTAAAATTTTGATAAACGAATTTCTCAATTCTTTTTTTAAACACCCTAGTCCATACACACCACTTTTTATCCAATAATTTCCACAATACAATTCAAGTTTGAACTTCACTCAAGTGTTCATCAATATTTACAGTAGTTTGAGAAAGTACACAACAATTTTAATACTTCAAATGTCTGCCAATTTTGACATGGAATTTTTTTTCCTTCTCCTGAAAATTTGTAGTTTTTGAACTATTGTTTTTCAAGAAACTCTGCTGCTACTACTGAATCTGCTACTACTGTAAAGAAGGTACTGCTGAATGAGCAAGGACAAAAATGAGCGCTGTTATCACAATTAACCAATTGGCTTCTTCGTCTCCTTTCCTGCTATTTCTTTTTTTAAACTTGGTTAAATATGAATCTTCTTATGTAAATTGTTTGATGAAAATTGTTTCTTTAATGAATTGATACTCAATGTGAATACTTTAAGTAATTTGACAATTGGAAATAATAAATTCTTATCTTTAAGAGATTCACTATCACCCCTTGCCAATAGTCAAGTTATTTTATTCATAATAAAATGATTTCATTTCATTCATGTGTCATGTTACTATTCAAGTTTAAACATACTGTGAGGGAAGAGAAAACACATTAACTTATACAGAACATTATTACCAAGTCTGATAGTTATATTGAACACAGATAAGGTTTGTGGTTAGGTATTCCTACAATTAGAGGTAAAGGTAAGTTGTGCTGGCATTGTCAAACTTGACAAGTTACATCTAAAACAGGCCTGGCCTACCCGTGACCTGCAGACCACGTGTGGCCTGCAACTTTAAATTGTGCAGTCCAATTTTACATTAGAAATATTGAAACTTTGATTTATCTTTGTATTATACAAATCATATGAATTGAATGAAGAGGCATTAAGTAAATGAAAAATGGACAAATTTTTATTTGGGTGCAAGCCTTAAAAATAATAATGTCCAACATTTTCCGCTGTTAAATAACATTCCAAACAGCTGACCTAAGAATTTCTCGAATTATGCTAATGAAATCAAGAAACTTAAAACTGCACTTAATAGCCACTTCTCAAAATGAGCAAAATATGATGAAATATTTTCTTGCCTATTTAATGTTGAAGTGAACTGTGTTTGTGAATATCTGCAAATGGAGTTAATTGTGTTTCAAGACAACAATGAAATGATACTGAAACATTTTTGCAGTGACTTCAACAATTAAATTTATATTTATCTATCTATCTGAGAAATTTTTCAACTTGAGATGTTTTGAACAATGAGTTCTAAATACTTTTGGATCTACATATGTTTGTGAAGCATTTTTTCAAAGATAAAATTCACAAAGAATTCATTGCATACTGTACATCACTAATTGACTTAAGAAAATTAGCTAAGATGTGCAAAGTCGAACACAAATATAGATTTTAAACAATTAAATGAAAGAAAGGAGAAACAAATCTCTCATTAATAAAGACTAAAAAATTAATTATAATTAACGATAGTAAAACAATAAAATTGTATTAGGTTTGTTATGACTTCTTTTAAAACCTTTTTACATAATTTGCGGGCAACCAATTAAGTTGTGCACCATCAAAGTAGCCTGTAAACCCACTTGGTTTGGCCTAGCCTTATCTGAACTGTGCTTGTCAACTTCAAAACAATTAAATTCCAATGAATATAAAAGAAACCTGTGCCTATTAGAAAACATAGACCTATAAATATTTATAAATGTACTGTTTTTTAAGATTAATATTCTTTTTATAAATTGCATTAATTTCAGGAAAAATGTTCCCAAAAACTTCTCATATTTTCAAAAATAGAAATTGAACATAACTTTATTTAAAGATCGAATTTTTTAGAACAGGTTTCATGTAAGAAAAATATCTTTATCATCAATATTGTATTTCTGCAATGTTAATTCTTTGCAATTTTCGAAAATTCAGAGTTTTCCAAAAATGGAATCTGCGCTATTTTTATAACCGTACTTTTAATTATTATAACACCTTAACACCTTAAATCTTTAATATTGTAGCTGCAGGAAGGTATCGACAAAATTTGAACTTTCGCAATTTTCGAAAATCCAATGTTCACCGAAAATGAGACCTGCGCAATTTTTATTTTCTTGTATACGTACGTATATAAAGAGTAATATACATATACAGAGAAAGTTATGTAATGCTGCGGAAAATCGATTTCAAGATTTCAACGGAAATACACGTTTTGGGGTCCCCTGATTTCGAAAAACTGTTATTTTCCAAAACGTCCGTCCGTCTGTGGAAACCATTAGCGCCTAAACGATATGTAGGACTTTTTCCAAAATGAATATTCCACAGTCGATCTGGCTCAACTCAAAGCGCTGCGATTCTGAAGAGCATTCTTTCAAATTGGATGGTACTTTACATGAAGCAGTGCCGGATTTACCTACAAGCAAAACAAGCAGTTTCTTCGGGGCCCCCATTCACCAGGGGCTCCGCGTTTCGGAAAAATACGCATACCATATTTTTTTGTCTGTGAAATAATTGTTAATCAAGTAGTCTACTGTGTAACAAAATGTACAATTTCAAAACATTTTTAAAAAATGAGTATAGAGCATGATAAGCTGAGAAATCTTCGTTTTGAAGACATCATCGGCAAATTTTCTGCAGTGAAGAGCAGAAAAAAAATGTAAAATGTATTTCATGTAAAAAAATGTAACACAAGTAAAAATTTCTATAAAAAATTATCAGTTTTCGTTTGTATCTGTACAGAATGTACTTGTACTATAATACATTTTTTATTTAATAAAGATGGAGCCTTTTTTTCGGGGAGGGGGGGGGCAACACAATTTTGTGCTTGGGGCCCCGCACTACTTAAATCCGGCCCTGACATGAAGCCCCTGAGACATTTCCAAAATTTTCTCAAAATGGCTGCAAATTATTTCTTTAATTTTTTGAAAGAATAGAATAAAATACACTGATAAAGATGGCATGGGTCCGTTTTCAACCGTAAACTCTAAAATTTTGAAAATTTTCCGGCGCCTTCCTACAACTACAACATTTAAGATAGAGATTTTTCTTTTCAATGCGTTTTATCTCTACAGTTTTTTCATTAAGGTCATGTATATTTAAAAAAACAAATAGTAGTTTTCGCGCGATATGAACAATTTTAAAAAATAACAAAAACTAGGTTTTCTCAAAAACGGTTACAATTTTTTTTCTTTGAACTTTTGTGAGGGATAGTGGTAAATGAACTTTATAAGATGACATAAATGCCATATTGTTCTATTCTTTTATTTTTTCGAGAATTACAAAATTGTAATTTTTTTATTCTTGTCTCTCACGTCGGTAATATTCACATTAGCGGCGATTTGTTAACATAATTGCATTTATGAGTACATGTGCAAAAAAAAATAGAAACTTTTCGGGGGGGATGAAAATGTTGTTAAGACTTTTTGAGATGCCCAAAAAAAAAAAAAAAAAAATCGTTTGAAATTCGCAGGATCTTGAGTTTGGTCAGTTTAATTGGGAAATATTAAATTGGGAGAAAATCGACTGAACGGTTTAGGTGCTGGCGATGACACACGGACATAGATACATTTTGCTGTAATCCAATTATTCGGTATCCAAGACATATAAAACGTGAATTCTGACTACACAGCCTATAAGGTGAAGTAATTTACTGCACATAGGAACAAGATTTATCCAGTTTTTTGATATCAGGGCGACATATAACGAAAAATCGCCACCTTCCGCTGGCGTATTACAATTCTGTTTTCACTATGCGAGCTTGCGGTACAGTGACCAAGTAAAAATTGTATATTTCCTTATTTAAAGATCTCATATTTAAGAACGTATTTCATTTTTTAAAAATCTATCATTAATATTGACGTTTTACCATGCTAATTATTTGCGATTTTTGGAAAAGGAAGTGAGTTTACTAAATTATTTTTTCTTGCCCACGCAAACTTTGACCCTCCTCATTTTACTACTGTAGTATTACTTCAGCCCCTGGAATACCTACTACCACTCCTTTACTAACATTAGTTGAGTTGTGAATGGATATAGATTGGTATGGGTTTGCAACGAACATTGTTGAAAAATCTGATAAGCAGAAATGTTTGATACTGATTAATAGAAACTAGTTTGCATAAAATAGAGCAACAGATTAGATAGTCCTATCGTCGAAATAATCAACCTCTCAATTCTCTCGCATCTAGCGGGGGAAAAAAAGAAAAGAAAAAAAAGTGCGCAGAATAATGCCTAATAAATCTACTATTCTACGGGCTTGAAATAATTTTCAGATGGTAATTTTCAGTATAAGACGGTGAAAAATACACAACTTTAACTTTCTTCTAAAATCATCAATTTTAAACTTATTGCATAAAATTGATAAGAGCTACGTTGAAATTATGCATTCAAAAACAGTGTAACCGGCCACTTTAATGCAATGTAACCACAGTGTTAATAAAGTAAAAAATAATAATAGTTTATTTGAATAGTATGGGAAAAGTAGTAAAATTTGAGTTTCATGTTTAGCAACACACGAGAACGAAACATTGTAACTCAATCGCAAAAATCTTCGTCGTTCTGCACTTACGACGTTCACGGGAGCAAAACATCACTAAAATTATTTCACCTACGAAGTTACACTTTTGCAAAAGTTCCTCTGATACGAGTAGGATTCGGCATACAAAAATTCATCAAAATCCGAGATGATTCTGCAGAGGTCCTTAGACCACATGACCCAAGTCCTTTTCATCATGTACTGTTTGGCTCTAGGGGATAAACAATATTTTTGTCTTACGTTTTCTTGTCATTCATCATATTCCAGTAAACAACACACTTGACAAGAACATGTGATTTCTGTCTTTGCTTTTCGCTCGCAATTTCAGCACGCAAATGGCGAGATCCGACGAGATGTCACGGCGATACATCATTTCGTTTTCGTAGGTCGTCAATGCCATGTGTGAGCGAGTGCGCGAGCGAGTGTGTCTTGTCTTGTTTGCAAAATCGGCAGTCAGTTCTTCTCTTGTTCTGTCTCTTTTCTTGGCTTTTCGGTATGAGTCGGAAATGTGTGCTCGATTCAATGGACTGAGGGAAAATGCATTGTCCACTGTGGGTGTTTTGAATCCTGGAGTTGCTGAGTGAATGAATAAAAGTGTATCAAGTATAATTTGAAAATGTAAGTATTAATTTATGTTAACCTGTATTTAATATTGTGACACACTTGTACAATAATTACTTTCGTCTCGCAGATTTAACATACCAAGCACGTGATTTGGCATGCAGTGTGTTTTCTAACAATTGTAGTTATTGTGCTAACAATGATTAATGATTCGTGATGATATTGTTACTGACGTTCCGTCACTATGCGTCGGCAACCAATGAAATTAATTAGCTCCTGTCGGTGTTGTCATTGCGTCTGCTGTAGCAGCAATCCTCCTTTCTCTAGATTTTTTGGCCTTTTTCACTTGTATTTACATTTTGACACGAAGCATGAATAATCGTTCTTGAAAGTTTATGACCAGACGCATGTCTCTCTCCTCATTTGAGCGTTACCTTTCTCCCATTGTATTGTTCGGCCCCTGTAGGTGTAAAGATTACATTTGTATGCCACAATTCCTTTTTCCAAGTCAAAAAAATTTCAATGACAAGTTTGTGGTTACTTCAGTTTGTATATTGTGTTGGAGTAACCATTGGTATTTCTCCTCCCTTCCAGGTGAAGTATAAATGAATGCCATAACCTTGCTTCTTTTATTCGTCTTGGAAATGGGCACTTTTATAATGGAGAGAGACTAACTTGGCATAATAAAAATTACTTAAAAAGCAAGATAATGTCTTCTACTGTTAATGTCTCTCATCAACAGAACAAGGAGAATACTAATCGAAATGAAGTCGCACGTCGCCGTTGGAAAATACTGGCACGAGCACTTCAGAAAAGTGGTGATACCTTCTCCCATGCTACTGTTGATGAAATAATATCAGTGCGACGCTTCACATCATTTGACCTCATCACTTCTCAGCCATTGAATCTTAGAGAGAATGATTTGAATGCATCATGGTTTGAATACTCGACTACTATATGTGAACAACTCTATTCTGTTAATATTCGACACCCTAGTCGTAATTTCACTGCACTTGAATTGATAGGTTTTAACAATACTGGAAATGTATGTATTTGGCCTTCTGAGGAGGTTTTGGCATACTTCTGCCTCTGTAACAGAGAAATATTTTCTGGAAAATCTATATTAGAATTAGGTGGAGGTATGACCTGCCTTGCAGGACTTCTGGTTGCAAAATATTCAACTGCAGTGAAAATTGAGCTTACTGATGGAAATGGGGCTGCAATTGAAAACGTAAAATGTATTCTTCATGAGAATGGTTTGGAGAAAGGGGATAAAATCGCATGTTCAGTTCTCCAGTGGGGTGATTATAGAGGAAAATTTACTGGGCAGCATAAAAAGTACGATGTCATTTTGTCAGCTGATTGTTTATTTTTTGACGAAGCAAGGCAAGACTTAGTTGAAACAATTTGGGAAACGCTTAATGAGGATGGTGTTGCTTTTGTTATGGCGCCTCAAAGAGGTAATACTTTTAACAAATTCTCTGAAGAAGCAAAGATAAAGGGATTTAATTGTAAAAGCAGACACCATTACAGTGAACAAGTTTGGAATCGTCACATTCAGTTAAAACAAAGTAATGGCTATGATGAGAATATTCATTACCCACTGCTTTTAATGCTTACTAAATCAAATAAAACTGTATTTTGGGATGAAAAATAGGATCAAAGTAACTCTTGCAGTCTGGAAACTTTTAGACATGTTGAAAATTTGAAAAAATTTAATGGAAATGTGCCATACTATACCAATAGTGATATTTTAGCCTTGATAATTTTACTTGTTTTTCTAGTCACGTTGATTATACAAATAATTACTGCTAGCTGAGGTATGTAGTTAAGCAATAGAACAATGAATGTATAAAATGCTGAAGACTGAATATTATAAAAATATAAGAACAATTACTGCTGGCCAGTAACTGTACTGCATCAAAATTTGGTGATTGGTTTTGTCAAGGAATGTCTGTTTAGTGTGTACAAGTTAGTTTCTTGCAATATAGATGCGCATGTACACACTGTTAATACCTCATTACTCACTAAAGATCTGGTACTTACTGTGCTATTTAATTGGAGGATACTATGAAAGAACGTTACTAAAAGACTCAAAACAAGTAGAGTTGAACATGCTCTGTTTTGTATTAAACGGTTTGTGCATGCACCTCTTTGTGGAATTTCCAGGTCATGTTGGATTGTTGCATAATTTAGTGAGGTGGAGTTTCTGACCTCAGTTGCTGGCCGGAAATACACAAGTTCCATTTCTTCATTCCTACTCAAATGTGTTATGTACCCTTTTGAGTTTTGAACATTCGCTTTAGCCATGATAAGTGATTTTATACCTCTCTTTACCAAAGGATATACTTTTGAATGGTAAAAATGGAAAGTTACCTGTAGGTTTTGTTACGTAGATACATAAGATGCTAATAATTAGAACTACAAACTTTAGAAAGGGCATTGATGATCATTGATGAATTTCAGAAAAATATGTCCCTATATATTGTTGTTAAAGTTTTAAAGAAGTGTAATAAACACTTTTGTATTCTTCTAAAGATTTCCTCATTAACTAGGAGCATAAAAAGATAATATGAGTAGGTTGGTTGAAACTATTGAAAAATCTTGTTGTTTTGTCATGTTCTGACCTGCTTTTCTTGTAATTTTACATCATTCAGCACAAATGGGGAGTTTAAGGGGTATGCTATTTATGTGATTGAACATCTTTTTATATCTGACCACTCTTCTATTTTTACATATCAGCCAATTGGCTCCCCTGCCTAGGTGTATTATGTAATGAAAGGTACATTTAATGTGTACAAGAGAAAATTTTCAAGGATAAATTTCTTTTCCTCTTTTCTCCTAACATTCCTTACTGTTCAATGTGTTGTTAATTCTTCTTACTTTTTCCTAGTGTGTACTGTTCTGTATTTATATTTCCAAAATGTGGAATGTGAACATTTGCAAGTGTGTCTGTGTCTTGTTACAGTAAGTTGACAGATTGCGTTCATAAATAGTGCTTGTGTGGCTTATTACAGCCAAATATCGATTAATATTTTCTGGATGTGTCTTCGTAGAATTTTTTGAAGTACATGATTTTACAGTGATTATTTTAATACAAATTATGTACATATAGAGTAGATTCAAATGAGGCTAGATTGTTAGCATGTAGAAGCTGCATGCAATCAGCAACTTTTAATGACTCAGGGAGGGCAGGATTTCTACAAACTTTTTTATGTAGCATTGATGAGTACATAATAAGTCTATGTTCCGTAACACCATTTTTATTGATGCTATCATTTTATAGATGAAATATTTTGATGCCAGGATATGTATTGGCAATTTTTGTCCTGGTTCCTGAAAATTCGGATTAATTATTTTGATGAATTCAAATGCAACATCGATTCAATGCCTATATTTATAATTAAGTAAAGTTTAGCAAATAGAAGTAGCATAACAAATTCTGTGTTGAATGTTGTTGTAAACTTCATCAACAGTGGATTTGTTGTTAAAGAGCCATAAAAATTGTGCTGTGAAGCACATTTCATATTAGATCTCAACATTACCTATATCAAATGGACATATTAAAGCTGAATTCAGTATTCTGCAGCTGTGGGTATTGAGTGATAGTTTTTGAATTTTCACATTATTTGTATGTTATTGGATGAACAACATTTCTCTTGTAAATTAAGATACTAATTGAAATACAACAGTAACTGCTGCTACTGAATCTTGGATTCACAGGGGCACCCAGAAAAAACTAGAGGCCTGAGACAGTAGATTCATAGGAGCCCCTTATTTCAAACAAAAGTTGCCCCCCCTCCTCCCACGTAAGCTGAATTAATTGGTCCATGCAACAAAAGGAACTTAAAGTGGTTAATTTTAATTACAATAAATTTATTTTGAATGAAAAAAATAAATGTCAGAGCCTCAGTTAAGTCTGGGCCTGGGGGCAGATTGTCCCCTGTCCTCCCCCTTCTGGGCGCTAGCTTAAAGTACTATAACTTATATTGGGATGGATTGCAAATTGTGTAAGCAAACTTTTGGTTTTAATTTTGATTTTCTATATTAAATTACTTCATTACTGTTATTTCGATACCGTATTTACCCGACTATAAGATGACTTCCAAAAATGTCACTCGATAAATGGGGGGGGGGG